GGAACCCACCTCCATTCTGGAGTTGTGCCACCGCAGGAGCATGAAGAAGCGCAGTCGCAGAATCCTGGACAACTGGATCACTATACAGGAGCTACTGGCTCATGGTACCAGGTCTGCTGATGGAAAGAAAGTCTACAACCCCCTGCTGTCTGTCACCACAGTGTGACATGAGATGGGGCAGAGGGAGCAAGGGAGAGACAACAAAGTGCCACAATGTTTTGATAGGGCCTCTCAGATGAAGACAAGCTGCTTCAGTCCACCTTGGCACAAATATCTGTCTGCACTCATGCAGCAATTTTCTGAAACACAAAGTCCAAGATGATTATATACTGTGTTGGGCCCAGAATGGAGAAAAGCTCGACCGAGACTGCCATAGTTTGTATGACCAACAACAGTATGTATCTCCTCAAACAGAAAAGAAATACAGTGTATTTCTTTTCAATATTGTCTGGTTGAATGGACCTAAACCAGTCAGGAAAATGCTTTGCAGCAATTTCCATTATGCTTTACCTCTCCCAGCATGCCAATCTTTTACCTTATACTTGTACCAGCTTTATCGATAATGCACAAGAAAAAAAATTGAAGTGTTCAGTGTGGACGAATAGACAGACTCACAGCTATAAGGTGGAAACAGCATTCTTGAAACAAGAGCACATCTACTCACACAAATGGGTCCCTTGTGAAAAATGAGATCCAGAACAACACAAAACGTGACCTAAATTCCTTGATCCAGATCATGTTTTAGGGTATGGTGAGCAGTTGTACTGCACATCTTACCTGAACACTTCATCTTTATTATAGGCCAGGTTATAAATGGGGTTTTCAATGTTAACTTTAAATGGCCGTCAGTTTTTGTGACCTTGACCTTTTTCAGCCAAATTCTAATCACTTCGAAGGTTGGTCCAAGCCGATGTCTGTACCAAGTATGCTGATGATCCATCCAGCTGTTTGTCTGTAATCCTGCTAATGAAGACACACACACACAGAACCAAAAACATAATCAGAGGGAGTCCAGTTAGAAGGCTGGAGGATGAAAAAGAACTGTTTGTGACTGCTCTCATTACATGAATGAGAGATGGCACCACTTCCTGTTAAGCCATCAGAGAAGAGTTGCACAACTGAAAAGGAATCTTTGCAGGCCTCTCTACATTTTGCATGAATGACAGAACAGACAAAAATTCAGTGAGGCTGAGAACCATGCTGCTGTGAAAACGCTATGAGCAAAGCTACTTGCGTGCCATAAACCTTAGTGTCGATAATTGGCTTTTGGTTAAGAAAGTTTTCGAAGCAACACCGTACGCCGGTTACTGCAGTTATGACATTTTGTTCATTCTTGTAGTGCTCATGTAAAAATGCGTTGACAGTAAATGCAACATCCCTGTAAGACCACAGAAGCTTTTTGATGAGGACCTGAGTGGTGCCTTCCTCTCAGACAGACTGGACTGTGTGGCACAATGTTCAAAGCTGAAGCTGAGAGAGTTAAAACTGAAGCACAGACCTGATGGGCTTAGTCTTTTTAAAGAAAGGCACACTGATCTATCATACAGAGCACAGAGGACATGACGCCCTTTCAAGGGACAAAATATCGGAATCTTTTCTCCACTTCAAAACTTCCTTTTCTCCAAACCAGTACATTTTGGTTGGTATGCAACATCAACTATTTGAGTGTTGACTGAACAACGCTGTTTCATGGCAAATGAAAATTCTCAACTAGCACAAGAAAAAAAGTTGTGTCTGCAGCATCAGCTTCACATTTCTACACATTCCCAAAACAGATTTGACTTTTTTTGTGCAGAACATGCTTCTGGAAAGTTATCTGTCAAGTTCCTAGAATGACAATAAGCGACATGCATGTTTCATACTGGGGCAGAAATGACTCTTTCCATGTACTTAAAATACTGAAAGCCTTTGTCATACTGTAATTGTGAATGTGTCCATGAACTTGATCAAAATCCTAGTATAAAAAAAACATGGTGTACTTGTTTGTTTGATATTGTGATGTCCAGTGTCTGACATTTTACAGTGTAAGCTTTTCTAAATAAATGTTGTGATGATGAAAACTGTATTGGTGCTATGCAGCTGTTACAGATCCAGATTTTAACAAGTCAGTGTGACAAAACACAGTACTGAACTTGAGAAATAATATCCTAAACAATTCTAAACCTTTATTTTTCTAACAAGAGTGAAAAGAAACAAAGGCAACATTATAACGAAACGTTTATACACAAACTCATGACAACTGTGTGTCTAGAATATCAGCAATAATAATAATAATAATAATAATTTGAACCCAGAAAACCAAGTAGTTTGACAAGAGTTAAAGTGAAGTTATCTTAATTTTGGAAACTATGGAGGGAGAAAAACTGGTCAAACTGAAAGGGGTAAAACATGGAGTGAAGGACGGGAGCTTTAAAAGACAAAAGCATCAAGTGGAGGGAAGGAAGGAGAAAGACAAAGCCAAGAGGTACAGATATCCATTTAGGGAAAAGTAGCACCAAAAACATGAATGCCTGCTTTTAAACACTTCCCAAAATTTACTCGGTTTATTCAAAATGCGTGTCCCCTCAAAACAGCATCAAACACAAGATTCAATACAACTAAAAAAAATACACATTTAACTATGGTGCTGTTGTTTAAGATCAGCTGTCGAAACCACCTGCTGTATCTCAGCTTCAGGATTCATGCCCAAACAGAACTGTCTGAAATAACCCATAGCTTATCCAGCGTCAATTGGGCTCAAAAGAAGTGAACGCCAGTGCTGAGACAGACTTCGCTCAAACTAGCATTTAATACAGTTGGGATAACATAGCATATTGACTGACCTTGAAGACATCTCTAAACCAAAAACACTCTATATATACGCTATAAGTCCCACAGCGATCCAAAAGTCTTAATATGTTCACAGGGAGAATGGATCCAGGGAAAGTAGACAATGAAGTTGGGGTAAGACAGCAAGTCTGAAAAAAAAACAAACAATCATGGCAGGTGCAGATATGTCCCAGTTAAGGAGTGTCGAAGAGGAGTTGTTGCTCTGTTAGTGTCTGGATGTATGAATGAGGGATGAGAAGGGATGCAGGGTATGGTTTGGGTGGGGTGTCCTGCATCTTTCTATAACGTGACACTGCCTTCTGGCAAAAAAAAAAATGCTCTGTCCTTTCAATTCCTCCAACAGAGTTCCAGCGTTGACTGTATCACAAAACCTGCCAAAATAATAATAATGACAAATTCAAATGAAGTGCAAAACTATTTTCAGAAAATGAGAAGAACACACATAAAGCAACAACAAATAAAGGGGCCGTTACCTCTGGATAGACCTGGACAGGTAAGTGAGGGGAGGGGCTGAGAGGACAGGTTTTCTTGGACTCCGAGGCATACAATGGCCTTTCTCCCGCCCCTTCTCCACTTCCACCTCTGTGGCCTTTTCTCTTCCTTTTGGAATCCTTGGCACGTCCCCGGCTGGCCCGTCTCTGCTCTTCAAGCTCAATCTAAGAGAGCGATGACAAGAACATTAGGCAGGAGGCAGCTGCAGTGAACAGACCTGACAAATGTTACATGAGAAGATTAATATCGGGAACGTCCCTTAAATACGAAGCTCGAGTCAGGAGACGATCGGCCAAGTTTAGCACGCAAACTGGAAGAAGAGGGGACACAAAGCCGCGCTCTGTCCGGGTTAAAAACAAATCTAGCTACCAACACCTGTCAAGTTCACTAAGGATGACTTTTTTTTTTTTTTAAATCCAGACAAAACGTGTCAAAACAATCAGCGGTGATTTTAAAATGCTATTGTTCTATTCAGTGCTACAATGTTTGGTATTTTAACATCCTCACACCCAGTTGGAACTTGTCACTTATCACTTATTATCCCTTGGATTATTTTTCTTTACAGATCCATAAATGAATAACAGTAATCCACAAAAGGTTTCTTTTTCTGACCTGGATGAGTGTGTGCAGTGTTTCTATGGGTGGAACAGAGGAGGCCTGGAGGACTCTGTAGATGATGTGCGTCTGGTCCAAGGACACCTCCAGCAGATCTCCTTCCAACTGTAGCTCCTCCAGCTGGACCCTGGTGGCTGGGGAAAGCTCCACTACTGGGCCTTTTAACAGAGGCAGTAGGGGCAGCAGAGACGCCACGCCTGGACATCGTGAGGCAAGAGACAGGCAGTCAGGACTGGTGTCTATGGGACAGTGCATCACTCCACTTCTTGACTGATTTTTTTTTAATAGAGATTATTATCCTGTCTTACCTGTAACATTTGACTTCTTGCTGATGCCATTTTCACATCCAGCCTGTGGGCAAACAAGCATTGTAATAGATGGGAAAGCTGGATACAGTGTGATAAAGAAAGTCTGCAGTAGTATTAGATCATCTATTACGATTCTACTGACACAACATGCAGTTATTCAGCTGAACAGACTATGTCTGGTTTGATATTTAAATAAAAAGAAAGTCAGACTAGGGGGTTAACCTGAGTGCCTCTCCTTTCCTTGGTATCCTTTTTAGGTGAATTCTCCTCTGTCAGATCAATGATTCCATCATCTCCTTCGCCTCCCTCGGAGTCTGACAAAACAATGACTGAACTCCCTTCTGTCTGCTTTTCCATGTCTTCCTCTTTCTCTGCCTCACAGTGAAGAGTCTCTTTGAGTTCTTGCAGCTTGTGAAGTGCTTGCTGCAGCTCTGGTGTCTCAAGCACATCTTTGGCTCGGCCCTGCCAGTTGATGGCCCTCTCTGTAAGACATTGCAGTGCCTCCCCTTCAGGCAGACGCACTGGCAGCCTCTGCAGGGCCACAAGTAGTGCCAGAATAGTCTCCAAACGTGGGCGTCGTGACCGCTGACATCGTGGACACAAGAAGCGCGAGTCCCAGTCCCACCAGCAAAGGGGGTTAACTGGCGGTGTAGAGGAGGGGAACAGAAAGGGGAAAGGAACGCAGCCACCATGGAACCAGTCCCTACACAGATGGCAGCGGAGCTGAGGTGCATGTGACTGCCTGGTGCACACACACACTGACTGAGAGGGGGCAGTACAGGCAAGGTTATTGTTACTGTTCTCTTTTACAGAGTTCTCTGATTGGCTGGATGCATCCACCTCCATGACATCATCCCACCTCCCATTCTCCTTGACCTCCTTGTAACTTGCAGTGTTAAGTCCAGATTTACACATGTTCAACTTCCGAAACCTCAATAATGCCTCCCTCTCCTGGTCTTCCCCTTCTTTGAAGGCCATCACCTAGAGATAAGGCACATGAATCAGGCTCATGTAAACAAACGGGCATGGAACATACAGGAAAACAGAACTAAATCTTAGAGATATTATAAACTGAAAGAGACATGTTCAGCAAACTCACAATAGCTGCAGGGTCCCTCAGGTCCTGAGCAGAGAGGCCCAGAGTGTTGGTATCAGAATCATCTAATGAATCATCCAACAGCTCGATCTCATCTCGTCTCTCTCTCCTTTTCACACACGGACATAATACCTGCAGGGCAGCACTCAAGTTAAATGCATGCTCACATGATGGTCACCTCACCAAGACATTTTAAATGGGCATATAAATGCTGAAATAAATACAATTTCTTTCCATTTCCTCCGAGTTGCCCACCTCTAGTAGACTATGCTGACTGCTCTTCTTGAGGAAGGTCTTGCTGGCCTTATCCCTCCATGAGTGAGCGCTGGCCACCTGCAGTTCTAGCTGCCTCAGCTCCTCCATGAAGACCGGCAAGTCCCTCCCAATAGCCACTAGGCCCTCTAGGTCATCCAGACATGGGTAATGCTCCCCATTCTACAACAAACAAAAAGAATAAATAACAATTTGCAAGATGAAATGTAGCTTATTTGGGCAAATAAAAATGAAGCCAATCTACTAAAAGACACCAGAAGTGTTTTGGTTGTTTTACCTGAATTTCCTCCAAGTCTGTTACCCAAGCCCGTGCCCGAGTGAGACAGTCCTGTAGAGACAGGATGTTTGGAAGCTTGACTGGGACAAGTTGAGCTTCATTTACTATTGCCTCCAGGGTGGAGAGAGGGTGTTTTTGTCTGGAACAACAAAAAAAGAGCTTAGCCATCTTTGGAACAGGACAGAGTGGTTGTGGAATGATGACAATCCCTGCAGCCATGAAGCACAAACAAAAATGCATGACATAACTTGTCTTACCGTTGTTCTAAGCAGATCTGTGCTTTCTCCTCCCATCGTTCTGCAATTGTGAGCAGCTCCTGAAGTTCTGCCATGGCCGTCTCTACAGACACACTCTGGGGCACGTTGCAGCCTGTTTCCATTAGGTTCCTCAAAACATCTAACGTCACCTCCCGCCTCTCAACTTCTTCTGCACCTAGGGTACGCCTCACCTCTGCCAGCCAGTGGCCCTGCTCCTTCAGACCCTGGAGTAAATTACACTCTGGCACCACAACAGGCAGCTTGCTCCCCTGCTCCAACAACATCTGCAGTTGCTCAGGTGGTGGAGAGTCTCTCCTCCAGTCCCTATCATTGACCAGGACTTGAGCCCGGCTTTGGAAATCCTCCACTTCCCGCAGAACCGCCTGGATAATTACAGAGTACAGAGGAAAACACAACTGTTAAGCTGTGAAATAATACATTTACAGTACTTTATCTGTGTTGGAAGAACTCAATTTGAAAAATCAACACAATAGCTTGTTCAAGTGTAACATCTCACCTGCACTTCCTCCAACGGGTTCATCACACAGGGCAGGTTTTGCATTGTCTCTACCAAGGATTTCAGTTCTGCCAGAGTCATCTTACTCTCACTGAAAGACAGCAACATGTGAGCACATGTAACCTACAGACATGCAGAGTAAATGTTAAGTTTGTGTTCTATCATACCTGGTTTTTGAGTTACTGAGGAGTTTAGTACAAGTCTGTTGGGAGCACTCTATGTCTTTCAGAACAGTATTGAGTTTCCGGAGAAGTTCATTGTCAGGAAACTTTTTTTCTGCAGCTTCCATCTTCAGCATCTCCAGGTCATCAATTCCTGCATTTCAATAAACATTTAATCTTGTGATGTTGATGCAAAATAATTTTATGATGAAATAATATTTAAGGCATTCGCTCGTACTGATTTCCCACCTATTTTGTTTCCCTCTTCTTGCTCCAGTGCCTCTTTAACTCTGTTGGCCCAGGAATCAAAGGACTCAGACCGAACCTTTAACCGGTGTAACATGGCTAACAACTCATCCAGGGTATATCTGTACCTGCAAAAGGAAGGGAGAACAGCAAAGACTTCATTAGACAAAAAAAAAACATCTTTAATACTCACTGCAATATATACTGTATGTATTTTATACATGCACACACTCTCACAGGTACATAAGAGATGAATACCTGAGGTAAAGTTTTTCAGTGGGGCAGCTGCACAGATCCTGAGTGTGATAAAGACACACCAGACGCTCGGGACAGTTTGAGCAGGCCAGAGCAGAGAGGAAGCATGTAGTCTTACATTTATCACATTGTCTCTCATCATCAGGTAACAGCTCAAATGCCTCACGCTCTGCTTCAGTAATGCCCTGCAGGTACAACACAAGGTTTATTAAATAATCTGAGATTTTCCACCATAAGAACATTACAATAATCAGACAAATCTGACAGTATCAATCTGAACTATTAGCCCCTTGCACTTTTAAAATGCATGAATGGTTAAATAAACAGAGAGGCCAACAACAGCTGAAATCTATTTGTGAGTCTCACCTTTTCCATCAGACCCTTCCGCAGCTTCCTCTCCTCCTGAACAATAATGAACATTTCCCGGTGTGTTGCTGCAGCCAAGTTGAGATCTAGTTTCTCTGGGCTAGCAGCCATTTTACAGGTGAGCTCTTCGTGGGAAAACACACAGTACCTCCTTAGACCTCGATAGTGTTCAATACAGGAACGGCCAGCAGGCAGCTAAGGAGGAGAGAGAACAGTGATCTAGTCTCAGTCTGGTGAATGATGTGAAATGAAAACTTCAGACAGTGCTAACAAACATACCCAGTCTGCAGTGCAGAAGTTGACAGCTTCAGCAAAGTTATATCCCTGATTGAAGCCACTGTGGTAGGCTCTGGGGAAGGTGATCACAAACTCACCAGCACACTGGTTAGTGCGTACAACCTGCCCAGTAGAAACTCACATGTAAGAAAACCTTTTAACTACATTTCTGTTGTGTGCACATGTTGATGTGAAACTGACCGGTACACCATGCGCCATGAGGATATTGGGGTTCATGATGGTGACCAGATGGTGTAGGAGGTCAGGCTGAAACTCAAACAGTTCTGGTGTCAGCTTCTTCATCACCCCCTCAAGCTGCTCAGCTGCCACAGAGGGAACCCCATACCAAGTTTTGGGTTCACCCCTGTAGATGATAAGACACATGGGAAGTGAAGACCAGAGAAGGGAGGTTATATTCTTTCACATTACGTCATCATAGTCTCTATAACAAGAGCAGAAAACATTGTAGCATGCAACATACATCACCAACACAGTAAGCATTCTGTACCAGTGCAGGTAGTTGATGGAGTAGCTCCAGTGATCCTCAATGTGCCAACAGAAAGCTGAGAACACCATGCCTACATAAAGCCATGGCACCTTCATCCCAGAGATGTCCCCATTAATATGGCACAGGAGCGACTGCTCCAGCACGGGCATCACATTCAAGTTCCAGCCACAGCGGGCATATTCCTGACAGAAAAAAAAAGAAATAAGATGTGGTTCACTACAACTGTGAAGAAGTTTGGAAATAACTGATTACAGGTACCACACTGACTAAAGTAGATTAGTCATACACTTACATTTTTGAGCAAATTATAAAACTTGGCATATTTGATTGAATATTACACTTCAAGACCTACAGCGTGCACTGTAGGGGTTTGCAGCCGAGTGCGAAGCGGCAGGGATGAGAATTAGCACCTCCAATTTAAAGTTCTCAATCGGAAAAAGGTGGATTGCCCTCTGCAGGTTGAGGGCGAGTTGCTCCCTCAAGTGGAGGAGTTTAAGTATCTCGGGGTCTTGTTCACATGTGAGGGGAAAAATGGAGGGGCAGGCTGACAGACAGATCGGTGCGGCGTCCGCAGTAATGCGGTCTTTGTACCGGTCCGTTGTTGTGAAGAAGGAGCTGAGTTGTAAGGCAAAGCTCTCAATTTACCGGTCGATCTACGTTCCTTCTCTCACCTATGGCCATGAACTTTGGATCATGACCGAAAGAATGAGATCACGGATACAAGCGGCAGAAAGGAGTTTCCTCCGGAGAGTGACTGGGCGCACCCTTAGGGATAGGGTGCAGAGCTTAGGTACCCATGAGGAGCTCGGAGTAGAGCCGCTGCTCCTCCACGTTCAGCGGAACCAGTTGAGGTGGCTCAGGCGCCTGTTTACGATGCCCCCTGGACGCCTCCATGGGGAGGTATTCCGGGCATGTCCCTTTGGGAGAAGGCCATTAGGGCAGACCCAAGACACGTTGGAGAGACTATGTCTCCCAGCTGGCCTGGGAACGCCTTGGGGTTCCTCCTGAGGAGCTAGAGGAGGTGTGTGGGAAGAGGGAAATCTGGGAGGCTCTGCTCGGACTACTGCCCCCGCGACCCGGTCTCGGATAAAGCGGACGGAGATTGATGGATGGACATTACACTTCATTCTGAATAACAACAAAATCCACAGTTATGCTGTTTTGGCCCACCACCTTTTTAAAATCCCTTTTTTGGATTGTTTTTTCTAGATTTTTATCAAATCAGATTCCAGTACTGCTCATCCAATCCAGTTCCAACTCCTGATTCCAATTCTCCACATATTACTCGAGCGACAAACCAAACTATATCATGTTAATTTACACCAAAGAGTGATTTTATTTTCGGCAGATTTAGACTGAGAAAACATTGTGTTTTCATGTTCACCATCATCTCAACCAAGTGTCCAATAATCACCATTAACAACCAGACAAAATTACAGACAAGCTCCCTGTTTTCTCATCTGCTTTTAGCACTTGAACTGTTCAGGTAACCTTCTGATATGCAAATATTTTCAAGATCATCACTGACTTGAGAAGAGATTTGTTGACAGAGTGCATTTATGTCAAAATGTTTGGTTCTAACACCACATTGGCCTTTTACACCCATTATACTTTTTAAATTTACTTGTTTCAGCAGATTTAATCTAAAGCAGTATAGTGAAGACCTCACTATCTGGGTGTGTGATTTAGCTAACAATGTACATACCTCCTCTTCCTCTGTGAGCTTCCTCTTGCCATTGCTGGTGGGGAAACCACTGCCAAACTCTTTGGAGTGTATGTCTGCTCCGTACTCAACAGTCACATCTTCCTCAATACTGCTGACTAATCTCCAGAACTCTCTCTCCACAAGCTCTGTGGGAACCATCTACACCAACAACAACACAAAGGCTAATTAGTGTCTCCCTTTATCGCCAGCCAGGGCAGGGACATGCTTCATAATGAAAGGGTGATGTTTCATGTGGTTGTGCTTACATGGACAGGCATGTTGAAGTAATCTGCTTTAAAGGCATCAGCCATTTCCCCAAAACTCTGCAGAGTATACTCTCTTGTAGCTTGTTCAAAACCAAAAGCTTCTGTAGGCTTCTTGCACTCCTAAAAGTGAAGAAAAAAATAATCAATACATGACAAGAGTTGTGAGAAATGCGAGTACCACAAGTATTCCAGACAAACAAGTGCTTTTAAACATTCATTCTTACCTCTGCCACACACTTAGGGCATCGCCAATTGCCTTTGGGAGGATCAGCGAGTGGGGGTAGTAGACAGTAGATGTGGTAGTTATCTTCGCAGCCATCACACAACGTAAGTTTCTCATCATCGTCTCCACGACCACACATTCGACACACATAAGAATCCATCTTTAAGAAAGCGACAAGCATAAAACATTGTGTCTCATTCACCAAAACCTTGCAAAGTTTGTTTTTCTTAAATTTGTTCTTAATTTGCTCATAAGAAAGATCCTAAGAAAAGTCTACGCCTGATGCCTGTTAATGCGTTGTTTCTGTAGAGAGAACTGTTGTAAGGCTGGAGAAGTTAGTTAAAATATGGGTTTCTCAATTACTGCTTTGTTTAATGTTACAAATCTCCTTTCATCGGAACATATAGCATTTACTTATCTATGGAGGAGAAATTCAAATCAATGCTGTTGTGGTTTGTCATGCTTTCTACTTTCATATTCTGGCTTGAACATGTCAGGTAGGATTTGAGGCACTGTCGATGTCAAAAACGTAGCTTAGGTGTGAGGTTTTTTTTTTTTTTTTATGCACTGTCATAGCTTTCTAGCTGTACCAGAAACAAATTCCTTGTGTGTAACATACTTGGCCAATAAAGATGATTATCCTTATTATCCTTAACTTCTTATTTTCAGGAGGAGGCTGTCCTTGTGATATCGGGTTTTATTGTTCTGAAATAATTACAGACTATTTGGAGTTATGATGGGTGCAAAGATAATCTAGAGGTACCCAAGATTAAACATTAAATTGCTGGAAATAAGCATGCCATGGGCTCTTTAACTTCTTATGGTAGTATATCAGATTTATTTTAAGAGTGGCCAACAGTTCATTTCAAAAAATGTTTTTGTCAGGGTTTCTCCAGGTTTTTAATATTCAGCTAAACTTTGTTATACTACACTCAGCTTGGTCTACTTACACTCTGTGGGTTGTTGATGTTGCGCCTAAGCCTCATGGTCATTTTGGTGCAAGGTCTATCTGTATCATCATCTTCGTCCTCCTCATTCTCTTTCCCACCCACCTCTTCTAGTTCTTCATTCTTCATTTCAGTCTTAACTGTGATGCTGGGGGGAGGTAGTTGGGGACTAGATGTGCCCTCTTCCCTCTGCTCCACTTGAGGCTCCAGTGGTTCCGCTTTGACTGAGATATCACCAGGAGCAGCAGACACAGTGTCTTTGATAGTAACAGTCTGAGGCAGCTCATCTACAAACAAAGCAGGGAGTGTTTCAGGGCTACAAGATGGTAGGGTAATTTTATCTAAACTAAAATAAGCTATGCAGTTACCACAATTTATTTCACTAAGCTAAAAATTGAGGGCTTGAGTCATTGTTTTTTTGTTTTTAGCTGCATCAAATTGTCAAAACTTCTAAGTTTCTCACTATTAGTACTGCCAGACTTTAAAGATATTTAGCTGCATGTATCGGAGAAGGTGGTTTAAAAAAAAAAAAAACGACCATGATACTTACCTTTCTTCCTAAAGCCTTTGTCCCTTGCCACCAGTCCAAGTCCCATCATTTTAGGTCCTGCACCATAGATCTGTAGCTTCTTCAGTTCTGGGTTCTTCTCTATGTCTTCCTCAGTAGGTTCAGGCTGTGGATGAAAGTACATTTTTAACATTGAAGGGATAGACAGACTACAACTACTCTCTAAGGCATAAAAAGCAAGGCTCTAGCCAAATGAAGAACAAACAGTTAAACACAAGAGCACAGCAATGCACAACAAGAAGGGATTATGCTAGGTTAGAAAGTAGGGAAGAGTTAGCCTACAGCACAATAAAAGCTTAAAGGTTAAGACCCACCACCATAACACACATAACCAGCAGCTACAACCATACAGTTAGGATAGTGTCTCGTTTGGATTTTACTGATTGTGATGATGATTTTGATCAAATCCTGGTTGTTGTACATAATTTAATGTTTAGAAAAGGAAAGAATGGGTTCAAAAGCTAAATAAGGTTTCAGTTCATTCAGGCTGTCATTTAGTGTAAAGAACAGTATTTCAAGGATCTCTTTGTTAAAAAGGCATAATAAAAACAGACAATATGAATATATTGCTGTTCAAAAAAAAAAGAATATCTGCTTTATGAGCTTTTCAGTTGAACTGGATATGTTAATAGATGAATGGGGGCATTATGACCACTGAGCTGGGCTGTAGTATTTGCTGCTTTAGTCTGGAATCAACACCTCCCTCCGTTATCTTCAGCTTGTTGCTGTCTCCCCACCAATCTCAGCTATTATGGCTTTTGGTCTCGGGGGGTGGGGGCTTCTTGGTTCCAGCCACAAAGTCCACAAGAATTCCACTAAGTTCCATGTACACAGCTAATCAAACTCAACCCTTTGCTAGCACTGTCCTCAGCTACAGTGGGTACAGAAAGTATTCAGACCCCCTTAAATTTTTCACTCTTTGTTATATTGCAGCCATATGCTAAAATCATTTAAGTTCATTTTTTTCCTCATTAATGTACACACAGCACCCCATATTGACAGAAAAACACAGAAT